TCTGCCAGTGGTGTAGTTCGGTATACAAAAAGAAAGTTTTGTATTGCTTCCGGTTTCGCCCCTCCCCCTGCTTTCAACAAGGCTCGTTTGAAGGTGTCGACAAATCTTTCTGCCTGACCGTTGGATTGAGGGTGATAAGGTGGCGTCCGCACGTGTTGTATACCGTTTCTCCTGCAAAATTCCTGGAACACTTGTGAGGTGAACTGACTGCCATTGTCAGATACGATGATTCCTGGTATACCGTGACATGCGAAGATCTTTTCCAGGACTGATACTGTTCTGCTGCTAGACGGTGGTGTCACTTGTACTACCTCCGGCCACTTTGAGTAAGAGTCCACGAGAACCAAGTAGTATATACCTTCTATCGGCCCAGCAAAATCCACATGTAGGCGGGACCATGGTTTTGACGTGGGCCATGCTCTCGGTGGCGGATCTTTGGTTGCCATGACAGACATCACTTTCAGTTTTTGAGCAGAGCCTCTCTTACTGGAGCCAACAGTTGCTACTTTGTTGCTACCAGACATCGAAGCACTTTTGGCGCAGCCATACTCACTGTGACGATTCGAAGTTGGTTTTTCATTAATCACGTCATTCTTTCTAATGGGCTTAGGTTTAATATATCTGTCTCTGATTTCTGGCTTTCTTGTTGAGGGTTCAATACTTTCTATCTTATGGCATACACTGCTTAACGGAATCTCTGACAGGTGCAGCTTCTCGAACCAGTCTAAACCCAAGACGTCAAGGTTTGAATTGTTGATGTAGCATGTGCCGACGAAATGACTATCGCGAAAACTAACGCTGCATTTAATTTCTCCATTCAATCGAAGTCTTCCGCCACATGCACTAATTGCTATCTGATTAGTCTTCTCTATGGTAGGGCATCCCAACTTCTGCCATAATTTCTTTGATATTATTGTGATATCGGATGCTGTGTCGATTTGTAGGCGTGCCGGCCGTGTATTAATCGTCAGGTTGATATATTTGCGAGGTGCTGGAGTACTAATATGATATGTGGCAGTAACACCCAAAGACTTAGGCTTGTTGCGCCGTTTGGGTCGACTACGAGATCTGGGTCGGTTGTTGCGTTTGCAGTAGCCATCTTTGTGACCAACAGTATGGCATCGACGGCATTTATGCTGTTTGAATGGGCACAAGTTTGCAAAATGCCAGGAGCCACAGTGCCAGCAGGCTGATGGTGGTTTATGCTGAGGATGACGCGGTGTGGTTGATGTCGACGGTACTGGATGCACCGCATGCACTTCTGCTGCATTTTGGCCGCCAGGCTGCACCAAGACGGTATCGTTGTGAATGTTGATTAAACGCTGATATTCTTCACCGACGTCTTTCAAAGTCATTCGTGGATCTTGTTCCAGACGATTTAATAGACGTGTGCGTATATCAGCAAATTTGGGAGACTGCAAACCACAAATGAAAATCAGTACCTTGAACTGGTCTTCTGAGAGCGATTTCAATTTAAAACGTTCACACGTGCGATTGACTATACCCAACTGAGTATGGATATCATCATTTTCGTTCAGAGATAGTTTCATGCAATGATATCGAATGTTGAATAAAGATCTCTGATCACCGAACTGATGACGAAGGGTATGGACAGTTTCATCGAATGATCTTTCGCTGGGCTTCTGTGGGAGAATTAAGTTGCAATATTTATCCAGCTCATCTGATCCCAATTTACGAAGTAGAAGCCGTACTTTCCAGGCATCATCTTTATCCGCAAAGTCTACTCGAAATAGGTCTTCATATCTGCGAAACCAAGTGTCAAAAGTGACGTTCGCATCTGGATCATAAAGAAATTCTGAGATGCTGCTACCAATGCTGTCGTTGGATGTAGATGAATCGGCAGAGCGTGATATCTGTAGACCAGCAAGCATTTCCATCAATTTTAGCTGCTGTTCCATTAGTTTCTCTAAACGCAGTGGGTCCATCTTCAGCAAACCCGTCGCCAAATTTGTTACGTATGTGAATATGAGGACCTTGTAGACTACGAGCGAACCTTACTAATGCGCTGGCTAATCTGTCTTAATCGCACGTCGACAACAACAACAATAATACCGCCGGGCACGCAAGACAAATAAAAGAGAAGACTGGACGTTGATATGAGAGCTTTTACTGTCTCAAACAACAGTCGAAAATGTTAAACAACAACTCCGTATTTATACAATTAGAAAAATCAATGTCACCTTTTAAAAATATTAACGACCTTGGGGATTCAGTAATTTAAATCAATAATCACGCAGATGCGTGAAATCAATGATTATGCTAATGTGTGAAATAAATAATGAGTATTAATGATTCCCCTGCGTATATATTAGAAATATTCAGTGAGTGGTTTGCAAACTTCAGTTTAGAAACGCGCATTCCTGGTGACACTGGCCCCCGTACTAGCTCTTTCTTCGGAAGCATAGTGTTCACCGGCCAATTAATAGAACAGGCAGTTAAAAGCCTGAAACCTTCCACTAGCACGGGACCAGATGGCCTTACTTCTATAATTTTCAAAAACAGTGGGTGTGATATACCCCTACTACTTCTTAAATTCTTCTCAATATCTATGGACACTGGCACTTACGCTAATGAGTGGAAAACTAGCTTCATAATTCCACACTATAAATCCGGTGATATGGCAAACGTCCGCAATTACAGACCTATAAATATAACCCCAGTTGTCTCGCGAGTCATGGAGAAAGTTGTGAAAGATCAATTGTCAGACTATCTACTTAAGGAAGATCTTGTTACAAGGTCTCAACACGGATATTGGGTGTGCGTCGGTAGAGGTTCGAACTCCGGACCATGTGCATGGTCGGCTAGAGTCCTAACCACTATGCCACCGACGGAAGGGATATTAAGCTGTTTTAGGAAAGTAAAGGTGCTAAGGTGAATCATTAAAGTGTGGTGAAATAGGTGAATGCAATGTATCATTAATAGATGCATTCATAAAGGAAACGCAGTGGGAGACTATAATCCCTAGGCTGACAAAGTTCATTTGCGATGTATTATGCGACCCATATAGATCTTACTATCATGATGTCCACTTTTGGTTTTAATACGATTATCCACAAGCCGGTTGTTTTTGTTTCATACCTTTATGTGTATTTGGTGCACAACCAATATTTTAACGTACCTGATCAGGATGATGTTTAAGTTATTCAAATCCAGCAGAGCTCTAGAATATTTTGTAATGTGCAGAAAACGGCGAGTGTTGCAAGTGTTCGTAAAATACATTGCATTTTCTGCCCATGTATGGACACCAGTCTTTGCTTGTATCTATGGATTCCACTGGCTTTTGGCAATCAAAACACCGCATAAAGGTTCAGAAGCACGAATTCGATATCATCCATATTCTTCGGTTCCTGCAACTGAAATAATTATTGCACAATAGCTCATAGGAGAATTTATAGCTAAGTACAGGTGGACAGCAAGCTGCAAAGAAATTTTTCAAAAGCCAGTCATCGAAATGTACACGAAGCATACCCGGCATATAAAATGGTCATTGCATGAGCCATATGTTTAAGCGTCCTGTCAGGCAAACAGGCTATAATGCTCAGGAACAATATCAAACAGCAATTTTCATATAAATTCATCCAACAAGAGCTAAATAAGCACCTAAATCACGCCAAGTGTATTTGCTTGAAAAACTAGTCCCAACTTGAATTACATAAACCGCGAAAATTTTGATAAGGTGAAGCTGGTGGCGCCACTTCAAATAGCTGATATGCCAAATAATCACCCGAAAAAGTTGACAAAAGCGCAAATTACATGGGTGATGTGGCAAGCGCATATGCAGTCATAAACTCGACACAAACAGTAAGATGCTCTCTTTCCTGAGCTCTTTCAGAGATTGTACAAAACATGCGTGAGATCAAGCCTTGAAATACACGGTACCGTTTCTCCCCGGTGATCAGAGGAGACGCTTACCTCTCGGAAAGAGTTCAGAGATGGGAGACAAAGGAGTGGTGGGTCTCCGAAACAAATCATATGATGAACGGCTGAAGAAATTGGGCCTTTTCACACTTAGCTGCCATTGGCTAAGGAAGGAATTGATTACTGTCCACAAGATTAAAAATGACGAATAACAAGATAACACTCAAACAAAAGCGTTCTGCAATAGAGTACGTATCGAACTCCTTGTGGGAATCCCAGAAAGATAGCTCACTAGAGTGCAAAGACCCGGGTGGGCTCCTACTTCCTTTCACTGAGATTGTGTCGTGACCCGAACTCCTTCCCGACAGATGTGTCTATTGCACCGTCTGTTGAAAGCTTTAAACGAAGGCTAAACAATCATACCGAGAAACAAGGACTACCATCAAGTGGCCTATCCCCTTAAATCCCATACAACATTATTGAGTAGACGTCTAAATTCGTCGTTTCACTTCACATTCTCTCCTGACTACTACAATTATTACACCCACACTTATCATAATTATTATGGATATCATATACATATATTTACGCATATGTATCAACTTCAAATTTAATTACCTCTCTATTTTTACGTTTTCCTTATTGCCTTTTCTGTCTTTTAGTTTGCACAATCTACACTAATTATGTATGTCATTATTATCGCTTTTCTTTTGACGAGGATACCGGAGGATTAAATGGTGAAAAGATCAACTCTATTCACAGTAGCAAAAACGTCTTAACACACCGCATACTATAAACAACATATAATTAATCCCAGCACCAGTCCTTTTGGAGTCAACCAAAGCTGCGACAGTCGAGTTGCGTGACTAACAAGGCAGAAGTTTACCAAAGACCAGGAACCTTTACTTTACAATCAAGAAGCGAGCACAAATAAATCAAATCGTAAAAATGATATTGGATATTAGGACTTCACTCTTTCTATACTTTAGGACTTACATATATATTAAATCACGAGTGATTTAATGTTTATAAACGCAAATCTCATCGTTTTTGTATGAATAACATTCAATTAGGTGTTCCATTATTGAATTTGTGAAGGTTGTTGTTGAACTCAATGATATCTTTGGGTCAGTAACTATAGTCGTTTCAATTTTCAAGGTCAATGAGGCCGTTATCGTGTGCATGTATTCTATTTTACTGCATAGAATGGGTCTGTTCGGCATATCTAGAAGTGTCAGAGGTTTCATTCTACTATTAACCATTACATATTTTTGTGTGTTTACGTCTGATGCCTGCTTTGATGGTAAGAGCACCTTCAAATGATAAATATTTTAATTAAGGTGGTTCTGATGCGGAAGATGAAGTACAAATTGTTGTCGACGGCATGGAGACTTTTGTAAGTCAGTGTTCATGTCATTCATTTACCTCTTAGTATCGCTTAAGGACTGTGGATTGTGACCGGTAAACCTGAATTTTGTCTTCTAAATGTATTCAGACATGATGAGACTTTTGCTATATTTTCAGGATTGTCTTTCGATCCAACTTTTTTGGACTTTGGTTACCAGTATGCTCATTAATGCCTTTAAAGCTGATTTTAGACCTTTGTTGCATCCTAAACGTGTGGAAGTCACCATAACTAACATCGATGCTGACCAGTCGGTTGAGCTTGTGACTACATTTGGAGCTCCTAGATTTATATTTTGGTCCAGGTTCAATCAAACGGTAAAGTCTGTGCTCTTGCTATCACTCTTCTCTTAGGCGATAGCTCCATCTTCCTCTGCAAAATTCAATGTGACTTTCTTACCGTATACTGTCGGTGAATTCGAAGCCTTTATGTACATTCAGACGTCTTTGGGTGCTGTGAAATATCAGGTTGTTTTAAAAAATGTTTTCATTTATTTAGCTTTAAAGGTGTTTGGTTCTAGTTACATCAGTGATCAACATTTACTACCTCTTGTCAACTTTGAGTCAATGGTAGAAAATAAGAAAGTGTTCAATATCAAAATACTCAATCCATTTACTTATTCTGTAGAGGTAAATTCATTCCATGGAAATCATTTTTTAATCCGAAGTGGAGACAAATTATTTTCAAATCTTTTATCAGTGGTCGTAGTAATGTGTTTGTAAAATATTTCATCGTCAATATTAAAAATTATGTATCTATATATATATCTTTCTCTGAAATTATTTAAGACCTTAGCTTACATTATACTTTGTACTTTAAGTATATGTGTGAAATTTGGCTACTTAGGTGATATGCAGCAATGAGATATTCTTAGTCGATAGTATCTAAATTATGTGCATGAAATTTGTACTATGAAGCAGTAAACCTACGTTTAACTAGTTGCGAACATTCACTTTCATGATTTTAATGAGTTTTACCATTTTAATTTGTTGCACTTAAAGTTAGACATCGCATCCGATGCAAAAAGGAATATCAGCAACTATGTACGTGATTATCAGATACCTGAAGGATTAGGTACTTTACATATTTTTAACACATTCAGTCGCCCAAAAAGACTGCTGAATTTTACTATTTCCCCACAGAAGCCTTTGATATATCTGGCATACTAAGCCTTTGGTAATCCTTTGTGACAGTTTATATACGTAGCTTAAGGCTCTCGATTAAATAAAATCTTCAAACAGTGAACATCAACACTTCATTAAACACTGTTTGTCATTAATTTCAGTAAATTATTTAACACCACAGACTTCACTCTATGTAAAAAGTTAGCACTCCAAGAAATTAAAGTGCTAATTCATAATTGTACAATCTAAAATTATTCAGGAACTCAAATTGACACTGTATAAGTTATGATCAAGAAAAACGAACACAATATTAATACTCACATTAAGATTATTTCTATAAGACGTTTCGAATGTACAGCCTACTGAACCACCAGCCTATGTTTACTGCTAGATCACCTTATTTCTTGTCATCGGTTTCGTTACTCAGCATAACTTAATCTCACAACCGGATTATGTCAACAACACCTGCGATTCCAGCGCAGGCTATTTCCCTCCCTTATTTTAGAACCCACTTCTCCGTGTTTATATCTAACCCAGTGTAAACATTCAGTTCTGCTATCATGGCCTTAGATTGGGTAGTGCTGTTTTTGTCATGTGCTTTCCTCAGCGAACACTGCAGGCATTGTAGTAGTGATAATTTGGTTATCACATTTGTAAAAGGATGAGTGATAGATGTACTAGACGTTTGTATGCCTGAGAATAAAGTTTCAAGTTAAAGAATTTGGTGGCCAACAATTTTATCGTATTGTAGACTGAGGTGTGTGTAAAGTACTCAAAAACCTCTTACAGAAGCACGTTTCTGGTTCATATACAGATCACTACAAAATCCTTTATCCATCTTGGTCATATCTCTTCGTAGCTAATTTATAAAACTGATGTCTTCTATGGACACTGCAAAATCAATAAATTTTCACTATTTTCTGCTTTGAAAAAGGTCATACCTACGTGAAAATATGTCAGGTTATTGTTCACAATGCAGTAAAGCAACTTCAAAGTACTCACACCGATAAATAATAATATGATTTCTCCATTGCGTTACTGAGCACAAGTCCTACACTATTTAGCGTTATTTTATTATTTGCTTCTACTGTTCTAAGGCTTCACATGATCAAATCTGAGGAATTCTTATACTGTTTGGACCTAGAAAAATAGTAGATTTTAAATAGGTCCTAATATGTTGGTACATAATTCTTACCACTAACCCAATAAATAAGTGAAGTGTTAAGTTGCGGCCACTAACTTTATATCACAGCTCGATAGGAATTGTAGCCTGTTCAACTGGCGATTCTCTCATCATGCACTACCTTATTACTGTTTCGAGTTCCTGAACACCGCAGCATTCATCTAAGTGTCATCAATGCCTTCATTTTGTCTTAAACTTCAAAGTTCGGGTGCACGCAGTTGATCTAAAACTTTCGGACCGCCTTTTGTTAGCCACACAAGGTTCTTTTTAATTACAATATGTTCTCTGAGATTACACTAGATTAGTATTGAGAAGAGAAACAGCATAAATAAAAAGTTTCTCAAATACTGTTATGTTATATTTAAGTCAGAGTTTCATTATATAAATATATATATATATAATATTTGCAACTATGAGTCATTATTGTCTATATTTTATGTTTATATTTTGATTATGGCTTGATTCCACACAGTATGTTTGATACAACTATAGAATTTTCAGCATGTGATATCGGTAGCCCAAATTTAGCAGGCCAACCATTGATATCAGGTGTTCGTTGGCCGGGGATCGAACCCTGGACCATGTATATGGTCGGCGAGCGTCCTAACCTCTGTGCTACCGACGCACAGCTTCTAACAGTCGCATTAAGTGTGACAGTATACTTTCATAGGGCTATTTTGTTTCTAAATTCTCTCAAATACTTCACATGACATCAAAGAATACTTCTGAACTTTTTGTTGTAATATCCTCTGAATGCCTTCTTTAACTATAGATCAACAGCATGGAAGTGTATCCTAGGAATCTGCAAACGGATCATTGTATTCGTTTTCACGCCTCAGCTAACTCTATTGGTCGAAATAATACGATCAGTAATTGTTTCTTTCCATCCAAAGTACTTAATTCATTTGAAATAACAAATTTATTGAAAGTACACACTGATCTGGATGAAATGGAACTAGTTCGAATTTCAAGCTCACCTCATGCAGATGATCTTCAATGCAAGTCTGGTAAGATTGAAGATTCAACTAGCTGTGTGACAGCTGAAAACTCTACAGATCAACATTTAATGTTGCCAACTGTGTTGATCCCAATAAATGAATTTCCCCAGAAAGGTAATATTAACAGTTTGTATAAAACGACTTACCTCATGATTTTCATGCATATTTTAGTGTATTTGAAGTAAAAATTCCCTGAATCTTAATGCGTGTGTTTGGGTCTTAGTAACTTACATTTTGCAAACCGTAGATAATATCTGTTTATAAATACCTCGTTAAACAACCAGACAGTATCATTGTTTATCCGTTAATCACATAAAGTACTTAAAATTCATATTAATTGTGCTATGGTACCATTATACATTAATAAATTGAATGCACCATCTCAAGTGTCGCTACTGGGAATCATAAATCAACAGTCTTGTCACTGTCCAAGTATTTTTATTTTCATCTGTTTCCTCACCTCCTGTAAATGTTTTGACTTTCTAATGTTGTGCAGAATAAGGAGAGGAGTCTATGGCCCTTAACTGATTAACAGTTATTCGAAGTTACCTTTTGTCAGTTTCTGTCTGTATATTTTCATTTATTATTTTAGTGGATTCTTGTCCCTATAATATGCGCATTTTGATCTCTGAAAAAAGAAGCCTATTACCACTTGAATTGTGTACTGATACAAGTGCTTTACACTTTGTCTATTACTTTGGCCTTTTTACTTCTCTTTGCTTCAACGCCTGAAAAAAATACAATCCTCATAAGCTAAGTCAAGAAAGGCTTGCTTTCTCAAAATGATAGAAAATCGAAAGAACTGAATTAACTTAAACTATCAAAAGGCTCATTTACTTCTTACTTGAGTCACCTTGTAGAATACAGCAGCTTATAATGTAATACTTGGTAATACTTTATTTACATAAATTCGTAAATCACAAGGTATCCAATATGTTCAGAACAACATTTGTAAGCACACTTTAAGCAAAAGAGATATCCAAGGTCTTCTTGAAGAAGACTTATTATTCTTTGTTTGGAGTTTACCATAATAATATAGCAATTAAATAAAACTCAGCGAAAAGTTTGATGTAAAAGAAAACCAGTAAACTGTCTTTAACAAATACTTTTCTGGATTATCTTACATCATTTTTGTTTCACTAAGTAAAATTAACTCCTACTATCAAACGTCATGTCGATGTTCTTCGTTCTGGTATTATTCAGTCAATATAAAGTAGTCATACCAATATTTAATTGAACCCCGTAGTTAAATAGTTTTACAAACAGTTTATGAAAGCATTATTGGTTTGGTATATTTATCTCCTGTGTCAATATCTTGGTCTGTTATGTTACGTTGGTTGTCATTGTTTCTCATCCCTTGAAAAAAAAAACTCACTAATTTTTATTGATCTATATTTCTCAAAGTTTACAAAGTTTGTTTTTAACTGCTTCTTTTGTAGTTCTGTACTCACGTGTTAACCTTCTGTATTTTGGTACTATTACCAGTCAGTCAGATCCTATAACAAAACCAATTGACATCTTATATCTTGGTAATCAAACTCTTCAAATTACAGTAAGTCATATTATATAAATACTTGGTTTTGTATGGTATGATAATATTTATAAAGTAGAAACTAAACCCATGGTCAGTGGTAAGAGCCAATTAGTCTAAGTATTTGGTTCGACAAGATTCTCATCAGTTCTCCTTAGAAAGAAAACAGCTAAAGTATAAACTTAAAAAAGACTCTACAATAACTGTGAACAAGAGTAGGTACCAAAGAAGATGGAGGAAATTATTATTGGATAACATCCTAGCACTGTGTGTATTTATAAAGGCACTGAACTGTAAAACAAAATTATGAGTGAGAAGATTAAGAAGGAAGATGAGTCAATGAGATACCACATGAAATCTTTTCCTAGGCAGCTTGATTTACTTACCACATAGCTCAGTTCGAGTACAAAAGTTATTTTGACCCTTCATTTTCTTGTGGAATCGTGGAATTTTTTCAAGACCTGAAGGAAGACGCAGTAAACAGAGATAACAGTTCGTCTCCGAAATCGGGTTAGGATGACTGATGTTTTAAATACGTTATGACAGTTATAGTAATCCCGTCAGGTTAGTTCAGGTAAATAACTATTATAATCAGTGAATCCTTGGAAGTCCAGCACACAGCGTTCTCTGGTCATTCCAACCGTAATTGTAGCCTAGAGAATGAGAATTAACAAAGTAGGATAGCTTTCTAGCTGGGAGTGATATCATTTTCACTCTTCAACGGGTTCTGAAACTCGCATACAGGTTGGCACTTGACACTTGCCATACTCTTCATCTCAGAAGTAATGTAAATTTGTCTAGCAGAAAGGAATTTCCTAATGCCTGTTGTCAAAAAGAGCATTACAAACACGATATCTTACTAAATGCTTTATGTGTAGATATACTGATTATCATGTCAAAGCTCACTAAGATATTCTGTGATTTGTTTTCTTAATATTGTGTGTCACACACGTTCACTTTCCAAGTTCCATTTGCCTTCATCGTGAATTTATTTGTGGCACCCATCACTTTTCATTTTGACTTTTCAGAAAGGAGTCTCTTTGACTTTCTGCCCAAATACTCTTCTGAATCACTGTTATTTTATTTTCTACATCTTCTGATATTTATTTTATTTATTTATTTAAACGCATTAAACTTGGTACAATATGGCACCAAGAAGGATGCGCCACACAATAATAATAAAACAACGTAGATGAAAAAAAAAAAGGAAGGCAGGAAAAGAAAAAATATATATAAGTAGAGAACGAATAATGAACTTCATCTGGAAGGAAAACACTCATTCTTAACAGGTTCAAACTGTGTTCGTTAACTATCATCGGGATTGGAAGAAAGAAGGAATTCGCAACACATTCGCCATTGATTACGATTCTTGGCCATATCCGATAACGTTTCGAGCCATCGATTTGAGCTATCTCTCAGACCCCAACCAGGGAGTCGTGACGCACCAACCGATGCTAATCTAGCACAAACATCCTTCATCCCACGACGCCACGTCATGGGCTGACCACCTCTCCACCTTTTCCAACCCGTCCCAGAGCTAGCGAACAGAGACCTGTACGGAAGCCTCTGGGGTGACATTCGCAGCACATGTCCAAGCCACCGGAGCCGGTGTTTCCAGATGACGACATTCAATGAATGGTGATCTCCACTGTGTTCAAACACACGCCGCCGAACCTCAGAATTACTCACGCGATGATGCCATCGAACGCAAGCAATCCTGCGGAGACAGCGGTGATCGAACACGCAGAGTCGCCTCACATCCTCAGCTCGGAGAGGCCAGGTTTCGCAGGCGTAGAGCAGCGCAGCCCGCACCGAAGCATTGTATACCCGACCTTTGACAGCCAGGCTAACGTCGCGACGGCGCCAGAGGTGGCTCAAGTTGATGTATGCCACCCTAGCTTTCATTATACGGTTGGAAATCTCATCCATAATCCCTCCACCAGCACTCACACAACTACCTAGGTACACAAACTTATCGACAACTTCAAGCGGTTCACCAATCTTGTAACAGTACTTTGCACTTAGACGGTGCAAAGCACATACCATACTTACAGACACTGATCGCCAACTGATTAAGTGCGATTTGGGCAGCCTGCATGCTATCGCACAGTAAGACGATATCGTCTGCATACTCGAGGTCGAAAAGTCTATCTCCAGGTAGCAGATCGACACCACCTTCACGCACATCCTTCAGAGCTGACTCCAGAATGTCATCGATGGCAAAGTTAAAGAGAAATGGTGAGATTGGGCAACCCTGTCTAACCCCACTGTTGGTTGGGAACAGTGGTGATAGTTGGTTGTATGCCCTCACTCTACCTGAGGTGTTTCTGTATAGGGCTTTCAAGATGTTAACAAATTTCTCAGGTACACCTCTCTCTAACAGACAGTTCCAGAGCACAGTTCTGTCCAACGAATCGAAGGCAGCCCTAATATCAAGAAACACAACGATCGTTGGCCTGCAATACGTGTGGCGGTTTTCCAACAACTGACGAAGGGTGAACACATGATCAATGCATCCACGACCTGAACGAAACCCAGCCTGCTCTTCGCGAATCAATCCTTCGCGTATTTTGCACAGTCTGCGAAGCATGACAGCAATATCTTCTGATGGGGAATTTCCTATGAATATTTATTTTCATCGTGTCAGTATAGCTTTTGGTCTTCATGAGACTACATTAATATTCATAGTTGTCTATTTTTTTCTTTGAGATGACATTTCAAATTCATATTCACAAATATATATGGATATATTGTGTGTACTTTATGAGTTCAGAATACTAGTAATTATTTGATCTGAATTAATAAGTTGAACATTATAATAAATGCATAAAATGATGATCTTTTAGTTGTTTTCTTATTTTTGTGAGTATTGACCAATTTTGTCGAAAGGACTTGATAAATCTTAGTAATAGGTAATAACTTTAATCTATTTGAAGTTTTCGAGATATTAGGAATCAGCTGCTCAAAACGCTATTTTGTTGAGGTATCCAAACGTCAACTGTAGTACGTTGAATGTTTTCATCCTTTATGTCTTCTGAAATTTCGAAGGCTTTTTATCGAATCTTTTCTATTCACTCGTTTCACTTTTCCTATATCTCTTGGTAATTTGTCGTCTTAATTGACTTTTCTTTTTGCTATTGTAAATTGTAATAGTTTGAAGTGGTGTGATTTTGAAATCCGATTGTACTTTGTTCTAAATACTTTTTGAGTTTACCAGGAAACTAATGTTGGCTTTGTCGAAATTTTATTAACTTAAAGGTATGCTTGATTAGGCATCAACCTTGGTCATAAAAAGTGATTCTGACTGGCAGTGATTATTTGAAAATCATAAGCCCTTTTGTTTCTATCACATTGTGATTACAACTTGACCAGTCCCCAGTGGATTTCTTATTCAGCATTGATGAAAAGCTTTAAACTACAAAGAAAATATCTGTCTGGTGCTTGTTGTTCTTATCAATGGCTTTTAGAAACTACCACAACACCAATTAAATTAAGATATTTAACCTCGCAAAGTTTCTGAATTGTACATTATTAGTGTTTTCTATACATGGAAATACAAAGCCTTTATTTATACATATGGAAGAAGTAAAGTAAAAGTCTAAAAGGAAAAAATGCGTAGATTTTTGTGATTAGATTATTGTAAGGAGTCAGCATTACTCATCATCGCCAACAAACTGTCAGCTGTTTTCTAATGTCTTCTGACTTGTAGTCGTGTGTTTTAAGTGTGTCATTTTTATTCGTGGTCACCCGATTCAGGTGATGATGTGTACTGTCATCACTATAAAGTAATGAAAAGAACAAAAAGGAACCTTTTCTTCTATTTATTCTATTATTGTTGGTTTTTGCACATTTTATCTTCTAAATTATTTAACTTTGTTGCTTAGATTAGATTATAGTTTTTGAGAGAGTAATATATTGGGCGTTAAACTATCACTCAGGTAGTTTAACTCAGTTAATCAGCGTTTTTGAACCTGTACCGTCTAAGTTGTGTCGAGCATATCTTACATATACTGATTTACTTGTTATATACACGTACGCTTAATCTGAATTGGAGTAGGAATATGTCTCGACAATGGTAATAATAGTCAAGTAATTTAAAAAGATTTTAGACTAATAATCTAAGCCTCTTGTGTATGAAAGAGTAGATTTGAAATCTTTGAGATAGTAAAGTTCCGAAGTAAAGAAAAAAACATCACGAGTTATGTTTCAAAGCTATCTGTAGATGTATTTCTAAAATTTATTATCGTCATCATCATACGTCTACAGACCTTATTATTGCTTTTGTTTGCTTATTCTCTTATTTCACGCACATGTCCTGTTTCCGTATTTCTTTTCACGACCTATTTTCCCGAATTTTTGTTTAACCTTATCAATGGGAACAGATTAATTTCATTCCTTTTTTAGATTAATTTTTGTTTCCCGTTGACTGATTGTGTTCGACCTAAATACTCAGTTTCTTTGGACATGGTGACTCCTAGTAAGGACGGTTCATCATCTACGTCTCAGGATTGACATGTGAAGTTGTTGTGGCCCTTGTTTGTAGCCTACTGGATAATGCTTTCACACTTAATGCAACAGGTGCTGGGTTCAAGTGTCAGTAAAGTAGCCATCACTCGCTGGGAATGAAGCTGACGAGTCCTGGATTCTGCTGCTGGACACCATCAACCAAAATAACTCAGATGTATATCTGTCAATTATTTGCCTAATTTGTCTATTTTCCTTAAAAAATTGTTAGTTTCGCTTACGTTTAGTAAGTTAACTAATACACAATATTAACTATTAGTGTTGCTTTATGCTGTTATAGAGTATTGAATCTAGTCTTCATGATGAAGCCATATCAATTAATATTACAGAAACAATGATTTCACCTCGTACAGTGTTACCGAAAACTATTGCAAAGATTTCAATTTCACGTGAGTTTTACTATTATTATTATTATTCCCAATTACTATCACTTGAAATGATTTTTAGTATATGTTATTCAAGAACAAATGAGTCAGAAAAGAGATTTGTTTTCTTAACTTCACTTCAAAGACTGTACAGTTATTAAGGAGTTCATATATATGGTATTAATATTGACAGCAAAGGTCAGAGGTCATCATCGGTTAATAAATAAAATAAATCAGTGTGTATAGAATAACAATGTGTAAAAAGATAGTGAATAGTTTTGTGTAATCGAGAAGGTTGACAAATGAATAACCATTTGGAAATAAATGAAAAGAAACAAGAGAACAAAGGATTGAAAATGGGTTACATTTAGTTCATTATACAACAGTTCGGGAAAATAAAATCGACACTAAGACCATGGTAGTAAAAGATGCCAGTTAAAATATTTCCGAAGGCAAAGTTCACTTTTCTCCTTATGGATTGAATGACGAAGATGTAAACGAAGTCCTTTTGAATGGCCTGATCGTACTTTTTACATGACTGTGAAAGAAGCCTCTCCTGATGGTGCGTGACCAGAAGTAATATTGGGCTCCAGAATTGAGCTGGTGACTGTTTCACGTTCTCCTTTTGACAACCATGCTGGTAAGTGTTCATGAGCTCATTTAGACAGTGTACTTAACCCCACAGCAGCAAGTGATTCGGTAAATGCATACTGAAGTTTCCAGTAGTGGGCTTTTGATGTGACATTTCGGTGAACAAGAGCATGTGTGGAGAAGATGAGGCGTAGAAATGCAGCAAAGAACCTTCTTTGAATTGTTCTCGGCAGATGAATTTTACTCACTGCATCTCCCTTGAATTTTCAAATTATTTGTTTTTTTGGCACATGCAAACATCGTGAAGCATCTATCTTTCTCTTGAGGTGTTTGATGATGTAGGAGGTTGGATGTCCATTTTTGATTCGAGTATTCCTTAGGGATTCCAGTTCCCTACTCAGTGTATCTGTGGTTCATATACAACGTATATATAAACCCCTAAATAACTAAACAGCTTTGAATTGGAAGTATGACTTGCGTTTTTAGTTAAACCACATGGAAATTTTTTCCTATTTTGAATGTTATTTGTAAGCTCAGGTGTAGTACCGACGCTTATTATGTCATATATATATATATATATATATATATAAAGTGAAACAATAATTTAATATCATTGTTTAAATCTCAAGAATTCTGAAAGTGATATCATTTTATCAGATCATTCAATTTTTAACTGAATTCCGTTTAAAATTAAGCGTCTATGTAATTGGATGGTTGTTAGGAGTGAAATTCGTCAATCTAAGTCATGTCAGAAATCAAACCAGTCATTTATTTTTAATAATTAATCAACTTTCAAGTGTTAGTTATCTGGTAGTTGATTCGTTTTAGTTAAAATCATGAACTGACTTTAGTTAGAAAATCATTGAAAATCAGACAGTACTGGAAAGTTGTTTCTGCCGACTTTGAGATTCTTCGGTAGTACGCATTCACGACGCCATCGCTAAGGATCGGACCTGGGACTTTCAGGTAATAGGGCCAGCTCAGTGATCATTCAGCCGATTGGATGGAATCCAATAACCCATCAATTCTAACTTCTGTCAGTTCACACTGTATAGCTCCACCGATAGCCAATGTCACCGTGGAGTATTTTCTCTCACACCCGACTTGCTAATCTAAAGCGTATATCAGGTTTATAAATTCCTTTTACTGTCTTGATTGAAATAAGTATTAGCGAGTAGCAGTAATTGAAATGTGTTGTTGTCTTTCCTTTATTGACACTGAGTCTTCTTTTTTCGCTTTGGTGAGAAGAAATACAAAGCAATAGATATTAGTGTTTTATTTCTTAAAGCCTCCGATTTTTCTTTCACCTCTCTGTCTCTGTTTCTTTTTCTCTTCTGGTATTATTTTAACTCTTTACAATCTCTATCTTAAGTGAATTCATACACTTTATTATTTATTCATCATTATTGCCTAGGGCCCTGAGTTGGACATAGAGCTTCAACAGCATATCTCCATGTCACTCTTAGACTCACACCCAATTTATCGTTTCCCATTCGGGTTCACCCCGAGAGCATGTCTGGCACGTGATATCAGTCAGCGGTCTCTTCAGCGTGTGTCTGACGCATTTCCATTGCCTTCTGAATATTTGTTAGGCTTTAGGTTGTTGAATGCATACTCTTTATGGGTGATCTTAATTAAATTCAAGTGAAAAAAAACGAAAAAAAATTCACTCAGTTAAATGCAGAATACATTAACTGTAAAGTTTAAAATACGATGAGAGTAAACTGTGGAGAATATTTTCAGGTGTGATTCCATGTCAGTTTGTTTTATTTCAATGTAATATCCAGAGTTAACATTATTCATTTGCTGGATGATTTTCTGAACACATTATTGCTTGTAAAACTATCAATTATCATAAACTGAGCAACTGTGGAGCTTTGACTCATTAGTCTAGGAAGTTGACTTCCAATCAATGGCTCATTGGTTCGAACGCCGTTCCACCTTCCTACGTCTATACGGCCGTGTGGTATCAACTGCTCTCGCACGATAGGTGTGTGACTCATTGTCAACTGCCTGAAATTGCAATTGGTTGTTGAGTAACATTTCAAACTGAACAGCTGAACCATTACTCTTTTGAAAAAGGCCATTGTACTCACATTTAGTCTTCGTAGTTATATATGCGTATAGAAAATGAGTACAGCACAAAAATTGTAAATGCTTACTGCATTCTGTCTACCTGTGCCTCACACTTTTGAATATTAGTGGGATAAATAAAAACTATGTTTCGTTGAACTATCCTCTTGAATATGTAGCTTATTAGTTGACATCAGTGATATAACTAGATATGGTCAGACATTAAAAAAACACATCAAAACTTAGCATAAAACGAATATTGATTCAGGTTATCACATTATCTACACTATCATCAAATAGTAGAATAAGGTAATGGGAAAATAGGCGAAGTTAAGCTTTGAGGACCGCTAACTACCAACCAGCGAATGACCTTAAACGCACCAATCACATGAAGGAGGCATTTTTGTTTATGGAAAACAGATATTTATAAAAAAAAAATCCATAAAAACTGCATAAAACGGTTACACGTGTGTGTTAAAAACATCCCCCAGTTTTATATAGGAGTACCAATTGAAAGTTACACCACATCCAATAAATATATTTGTCTAAGTGACTATAAATGACATCCTTTTGAGATCCATTAATGGTCCTAATGTTGTTCCTTAACCTTCCCCAAAAGCCTGTGTCCGTGTAATGGGATCCACAAAATCATCAGAGTGGTTCACCGTGTAGTGAATATATCTACGGGTGACAAGGAGTTACAACCTCTCCACTAATCGGTGTGTATTATAGATCTCTGCTTCATAAGTCTAGTGATAATAGGTATTGATGTAGTTAACTTTCTGTCTGATGTCCTCTCAACGAATCTTTTCTGTAGAGAAGTGTCATATAAGCCAATCGCCCAAACACTGTCTGCTCGTTTACGATTATGGTTGTATTTTTTCTTCAACAAGACAGTTTCATCCACGTGTACGATGACACCGCCTCCTAATAACGAAGTAATTCTCCCCATTTTCCATGACGCGATATCTCTGCAGTGCCGGTACCACGGAACTATTGACACGCGATTATTTTCAGTTTCAGCAGCTGCACCTCTCACAGGCTATTTTAAAATCCAGTAATTACATATATACAAAATCTGGGTTAAGGACAAATGGGACCTGGCAAAAAATGTTCCCGCTAAATATTGCAATCATTAGCTTACCTTCCCGGACACTAACTCGTCCCAAACAAATTGTTGAACGACCGACATATCCGTCAACTGACCCACTGAAGCTTTTTGTGATCATCACACCTCCATACGAACAAATCCTTTCTTTCCTCATCAACTCCAAATCCAAGCAATACTGGGAAACCTTATCCTCTCTGAATTGCAACCGTAACTACGTTAGAACAGGAATTTAACTCGAATCAAACGGAATAGAAACTTCATCTCACGTGGATGAAACTCATTGAACCATTCAACGTCATTTGCTGATTGGTAGTTAGTGGTGCTTAAAGTTTAACTTGGCCGGAAGAATATAAGGAAATAAAAGCACTATTGTTATCAGGCAGAGAAGAATGGAAGTGGAAAAAAGAATTAAATGTGTGTTGTATGTTGCTACTTAGACGATTGTCATAATGACGATAATGCGTGTATTTATCTATATCATTTTGATCGATTCGCAAACTTACCACCTGTATTCTCTAATCATCTATTTTCTGACTTGTTTTGATTACTTTCACATTTATATCATTCACGTTTCATTATATGAGTTTTTTCATTCCTTTTCCTTCCGAGTGGAACATAGGGCTTCAAACTTGAGTCTTGAAGTTCCAGCAGTGGTAGTGTTGTTGTTTTTACAGTTTCGGTTTGCTAGCCTCACACAAAATCTTTCTGTCTTTACTGAGTTTAATACCTGCTAAGTGAGGTTTAGGAGTTCGTAGGCCGGGGAATGAAACCCTCACCACCTACGTCATTGGCAAACATTCTAGCACTGAATCACTGACGTGAATAATTCAATTAGTAAACATCACCGTAGTTTATATCGCTTACTGTCCGTTAGTTCATAATTCACTAGTCTTATCAATCCATTTCATTGATTAAATTTTATAATTATACGCTCACTGCTTATATTATCAGAATTTCAGCTTGATAAGTTGACTACATTTTAATGTAAAGGTGTAGTACTTCATTAAATCACTCCTCAATGACAATTTCAGTTGTGTGAATAGAAGATGGTGAATAGAAGTATCACTGTTGAATAATATTTGTCTACATATTAGTTTCTCTGTTACATAGAATCTGTCCTTATTTTTACAAGCATTGATCCATAATCCAAAAAGTTATTGAAAAAATCCAACTAGTGATCGGTAGAATATTTGATTAAAGTATGACATGCAATTATTAAAAAAAGTGTTGAATTTACTTCAATTAAGTT